TTTTCAAATTGGCGGCGTCTCCGCAAAACAAAGTTAGAACTAGAGCTCTCTTGGGAGAGAGCTCGGTGTCTCTAAAGATGTAAAGGCGCGAACTGAAAAATATAAATACTTACTCCTGCAAATGAAAGAAATACATAACCTTTTTGAAAGGGAATATATACGTTTCCTTTATAGCAAAGTTTATTATAAATATATAGTTCCAGGAAACATAAGAATAGATATTTTTTTGAAACTATCCAACTCAATTTTATTCTTTTGTCTTATTAATACACTAATTATTTTGCCGTGTTTATATTTTATAACGTTTTATCTTTTTTTTTTCATTGTCTCTATACGGACACAAGCGATAAAAGATACCGCGGAAATTTGAATGGCACAATACGTATTTTTGGCTATTTAATAGAACATTTAAGAATATTCAGTGAATATCTATGGGAGAGTTGCACCGGTGCTCTCGCGGAAAATTCTCCACGGACAGTTCACGCCCGGCAAATCTCGCGCGAGACCGAATTGCTAATTCGCTCCGTGTCTTCTTGATTACGATACAGACTCAGGGAAGCGGAAGGAAATGAAGGAAGAAAAAAATTTCTTCTCGTCGCTCTCTCCGCGCCATAGCGTGCCCACCTCCGCGCGGCGGGATGGATGGATGGATGGATGGATGGATGGATGGATGGATGAATTCCATCGTTATCGAGTCGCACCCCCGTTTTACAAACGGAGCAGGCCTCACCCCGCCCGCAAAATCTCTCGGCCGAACGTGCATATTTCCATTTGACACGCCTCGACGGGCGCCTGATTTTATTAAAAACCCCCGTAACCCGATTCCGCGCGCTCTCCCACGGGGAATAAAATGTTTCTTTCACATTCGCTTGATTTCCGCAAGGTGAGCATAATTATTTTTGATGCTCCGATGATAACACGTTGAACTGCACGATTTTCTCCGGCGTTTCAAAATATTAATTCTTTCAATAGATATTAAAAGGAAATTTAAAGAAGGAAACATGAATTTTTTAAAATTGATAGGCTCCTCGAGTAAGAAAGTATTCTTTAGCTATGGTTAGAGACTTGAAAGATACGTTTTTTATATCAATTTTTATAAATTTGTCTCGTAGATAGATTAAAAAAAAAGATTGAAAATGAAATTTCAATTAAGTAAATTTTTCAAAAAGTAAAATATTAGATTGGCTAAAATATAAATTAATTAAATAAAGAGTTAAGAAAAATAATCCTCTACCATTTTGCAATTTTTGCAATATTTAATGAGATATTAATTTATAAAAATAAAGAATTTACTATTATAATGGGAATTCTGTTAATCATGTTTCTCGGTCTGTTAGATACCGATGCACTAATTTCGAATTTTTAAATCACAAATTTCTAATTCCGAAGCACAATTGAACATTTTGGCAAACATTCGTTGGCTGCCGAAAATTTAGAATATATCTAACGAGGAAAAGACGAAGCACGAACAAGACGGATCGCGCGACGGAGGAGGAGGGGAGAAAGTCGGCATGGTAAACGAGGTCGAGTGTTGGCAGCGTATAATTTCGATGACAAGCAAAGGGGTGGTTATCTCTCGTTGCTTCTCACCCTCTTTGCCACGGACTGCGAGTGGTGAGCCACCCCCGCGTGATTGTATTAATTCAAGCCGTCCCCTCCACCCCGGTTTCCCATTTACACCTCACTCTCCCTTCTGTTCTGCCTCTTCCTCGCATTTCATCCTCTCTCTTCGGCTTCTGTGCCGGCGTCACCCCTCCCGAAGCACAACTTCCGGGAACAAACGAAGCGTGTCGGCGTCGCGTATAATGAAGCGCGCTCGTTCGTTTCCTCGGCGTTTTCTTGTTGCCCGTCTTCGTGTCCCGCGCAAAGATGCTCATGTCGGCGCCTAAATCTAAATTCCTGATGATTTTGAAATTCATAAATCATACAGAAATAATCGATAACTGGTATAGCATTAGCATTAAGAAATGAATTAAGAAAATTTTAAAAATTAAAAGAACATTTTCAATATCATGTAAACATGGATGGTCAAAATGAATAGAAAATGAATTGGAAAATATGCATATGGAAATTAATCACTCTTAAGTGAATTAGATTTCGACATATACAAGAGGATGAAATCTCTTTTATCAAAAAAACAGAATTTTGTATGCACACGCATGTTTGCGATGTTTGCGAAAACATTGATGCACAGCGTTCGCCTGTCATTGATCGGAGGGAAAACTAGCATCGGCAGCTGACAGGGCGCGTGATATCCATTGTCATTGGTGGTGCAATATGCGTTATCTCGCCGGTGAGAGTGGATATCGTGCCGCGGGAGGAGTTACGACCGGTGCACGTGCAGAGGGATGGTCGTCGACACGAAGTGTTTGAAAAGGCGGGAGTGGATGATCGTCGCTCATGGAAGATCGAAGTGGAAGAGGTGAGTGGGAAAGGGGGTACCAAGCCGTTTAGCGATATTTCACGGGGTTCTCGCTCGTAAGGGTTTTCCAGCAGCGCACGGTATTACCGGAGGCAGTCTTGCAGACTCGAGATAAGGGAAACCCGGTTCCCCGTTTCCGACGGCGAGAAACGGCGGTGGCGGCGGCGGCGGCGATGGCGGTTGAGGCGCTCGTTCCTCCATCTTAGCCTCGCAACGCGAGAGCGTGAAGGAAAATCAGCGGCAGGAAAGCCGCGAGCAAACCCCTTCTGGTTGCTACGCAGTGTCCCGTCTCTCTCTCTTCCCTTCCCACTCAACCCTCTCCCCTCCCCCCTCGCGCCCTGGCTCCCACCGTAAACTCGGTTAATATCTGCTTATCCTGTCTTACCATCCATCCCCTTCGACCGTTTCGCTTCCTACGCGGCTTCCTTCGGCTAGTGATGTTCCTGTAGAGTCCCGCGAACTTGACGCGACGTCGACGGGACATCGCGGGAATCTGCGAACGATTCCGAAGGCGCGCGTACAGCTTCGAAAACGTATCTATAACGCGGGTATTCGATCATTTACATTGCAATACTGCAAATATGAGCTATCTCACAGACACTATTTATTATGACAAATATAAAAAAAGGAATTTTTATAAAGAAAAAAATTTTTAAATCTCATACATATTAGTAAAGTTTCTTAAAATAAATTCTTTCGAGATTTTTACCTATTGTGTAAATTCACATCTAGTCGTTCTATCTGCTATCCGTTTGAAAGAGATTTCGTTTCATGGAAAGAATCATATGAGAAAAAAATTGTCATCTTTTATGTGATTCTCCCATAAGCTAATGAACAGTTTCAGTATATCAGCTTTTTAAGATTGGAGTACATGTGCCTCCACACTTGTTTTTAATAACGAGAGAGTTAATAATTGTCTGCTTTTGTAAAAAGTATATCTTTCCCACTGGCAAAACGAAGAAACACGGAGTGAGGCGCTCAACGGCAATCCCGCCTCTCGGTTTAGCAATTAGCGGCTGTTTAAGTGCACGCGTGCTCGTGCGACCGGTTAATCTCTGCAATTCCACATGGGGACTTTTTTCGTTCTAATTAGAAAGAATAATCTCAGTAACAATCCCTCAGTTGGTTGGTCGTTACTTACTTGTGAAAGGGACACGCACGTGTCCGTTCAATTTCGCCTTGGTACTTCCACGTGCTTTCGCGACTGCTTTTGCACGTTTCAACAGGTGTAACAGTTTCATACAAACATGTATGCAGAATATTCCTAAATAATCGAATATATCTTTCTTTGATGTGATCTTGTGATCGACCCTTTCTTTTAGCAAAAATATCAAACAAAATTGTCATACTGATAATAAATTTTTGAGGCTGCTCTTAATACTAAATGGAATTAATATCTATGATTAAATGTACCTTCTTATTATCTGTACTATCTGTTAATAATTATTACCTTTTTATGTAAATATATTAATATCTTATGTTTGCAATTTTAATTTGCATTAAAAATTTTACAAGCATTTTCAATTTATGTACAAAACAGTCAAAAATCTATATATTTTGCATATTATTATGATATTACGTACATAATTTATCGTATAAAATAATCAACATATGTACAATTTTTAGATATGTCGCATAAGTTTTAAAATAATTTTTCTCTAATTTTCTCGATGTAATCGGCGCTTTCGCGATTCCCCACGATACCCCTAAGCGTTACGGCGCGACGTCCTTGGCGACTCATCGATATAATTATTAAACGGAACGTTTTCTCTCGGGGGCTGGCCGACGAGCACGGCAAGAGAAGCCGACGGGTTCGGTGGAGTCCCACACCACATCCGGTGTATCCTCCGGTAATGAACGCAGCCACCTTGAACTGGCAAACGGATGAGCGGCCAGGCATAGGGAGTCTGTAAGGGCGAATCTGAGAGAGAAAGAGAGGACGGTCCCCGAAGAGCGACGGGAGACACGGTAGGTTAGGATGTGGGGGAGGGTAACGGCGGGGAAACGGCGGTAGCCACTAAAAGGGGTTGTGTCCTCTATGTGATGAAAGCACCCTTCCGTGTCCCGCTGAGGCTCTCTCTTCGTGCCGTCGCCGCCGCCGCCGCCACCGTCGTTGCCTCTGCTTTGGTTCCTTTTCCTTTTTTATTTGTTATTTATTTATTGTTTTTTAAAAGTTATAAAAT